AAAGGGGTTCAGGTGTTCATTGAAGACGGAAAGATTCATTTAACTTTTCTCTATTTCTTTTCAACTAAACCGATGTTAAAATTAAGGTTTTAAATTTAAGAGGCATTAATGGCTGAAATTGTTAATGAATGTTAGTGCAGTTAAGAGTTGGTATAGTGTAGGTTATTATCTTATTTTTTTTTAAAATGACATATTTAAAATTTTATATTTGAATTAATATTTTTAAAATTATTTGTTAAATTAAAAATTTTATTTATATAAATTATACATGTTAATTTTTATATTTACAAAATATTTGTAATTTTTTAATTAAAAAACTCTATTTATTGAATTGATTAAGTCTACTAAATCAATCTAAAAATTAATATATGTAATTTATATAAATAAAATTTTTAATCTAATAATTAATTTTTAAAAATATTAATTAAAAGATGATTTTTTGACAAGTCCTCCGAAAGAAAATTTTAAGAAAACAACTTATAAAATACTTTTTCTTTTAGTTAAACTCTTGTTTGTATCTTTTTACAAAATAAGAGGGTGTTTGGTTTAACTAATTTTATGGTTTATGTATTTTTTAACAAACTAATTTCATGTTCTATTAACTATCAATTGTCCCTAACAATTTACAAAAAAAAAAAAAAATGGAAATCGTCCCTAACAATTAAATCAAATAGGGACTACTAATTTCGTACCATTTATTAGTTGTACAACTGAGCTGCTAAATTGCTACTTATTCTTTGTACAATTTTTTTATATTACTTGTAAATACATTAACTTTTTGATGTTATTTATAAATACAATACATAAATCATATCTATTCTATCTCATTCTTTGGATTATAATTTTTGTACGACATGGTGCTTGATATGGGGATAGTTTGGTACCAGCAAAAAAAATGGGCTATCCAAACCCAAACCCATTAGCAAACGGTAAAGAATGGGCTACTGGGTCCGAACTGTGAATGGGCCGTTGGATGTACAAAACATGGGCTCCACTGGTTATACTATACCCAGATGTTTATATTTGGGCTTCAGCTTCTTATCTATAGTTGGCAACTTCGCAGGCCACTCTTCCCATACTCCATCCTGCCAACGTGGCGAAAAATGGGGTCTCTTTTTTCCACGTGTCAGAAGTACACAAAACCTAAATGACACGTTGCTACTCCACAGGTTGACAGCTGTACAACAACTTCAACCGCCTGAAAATTCTCGGCTCCCCAAATTGGTTTCTTTCTTCTTCTGGCAAGAAAACGTTGCCGCCGTTTCCAATCGTAAAGCAAAAAACATGGAGAAGAAGATCAAGAAAACGTTGCTAGGAATTCAAAAGAACAACAGAAAGTCGACCAAGAGAAACAAGCAGACATTACTCAAGAACGTTGTGGATTATCTCAGAGCCAATTCATACTTTTTTGGTCCTCTCATCTCCCCTTCACATTCTGAATTTGCTGCACTAAAGTTTAGTCCTTCTGCCACAAAAGATAATTACTTCCCCGGATTACACAATTTTCTGAAATTTTAAATGATTTTGGTTGATGGGTTTTCTTGATTTGCTTCAATGGAGTTGTATTTGGGGTGTTTCAGGAGTGAAAATAAAAGAACCCATTAGAGAAACCAAGAAGAAGTTTATAGGGAAGGTTATGGAGTATCTCAAATCTGATGATTACATGTATGCATCCTTGGTCTACGGTCCGCTTACTATTTCAGGTACTATTATGCTGCTATTTGATGCCTATTTGCTTTTGGACTTAAATTCAAGATTCTGTGAAGGGAATCTGTTTTGCAGTATAGACTGCATCAGACTGTAAATTAGGTATGCATGGGGGAGGGCCTCCAATATCAAGGGGTCCAATCCTATCTAATGGTTAGTTTTGTGAAGTCGGTATAGTTTTAACTGCATAACACCTTTTCCTTCTGCGTGTGGTTTTTTTTTTTTAAGTCATTTGCCTTGTTATCCTGGCTTAATTCTTTCCCAAGAAAGATAATTCTGAATAGCTGAATTGTAGTTTTTTTTTTACTATTAATAATATTCATTGCCTTTCAAATCTCGGTGAAAGTAAATTACAGTACATCAGAAGCTTTACTATGGATATCTCAACAGGGAAATCGATTACAGGGGAAAATCAACCAACCATACAGTCAGCAAATATGACAGCAAAAAATCAGCCCTTTAAGGATAGTTTTGGAGGAATGAGTGATCCTCCTAGCAACCGAACTTCAGGGATTGGAGAAACAGTGAAACACATGGTTTACCAAAACTGTCGCTCCTCATCTGTATCAGGTCATATCCTTATCCCTCTCTTTCATTTCATTCTTCAATACAGATATTCTTGTTGGCAGTCTAGATGTCATAGTATTTAAAGGTTTTCTTTTTGTTTGGCAAGGCTTTGTTGTGAAATAATATCCTAGGGAGAGTAACATGTGTTTGAATGGAACTGTTGCTGATAGTTTCCTAACGGAAGCTGGTACCTAGAATTCTATTGTTATGATCCCCAAAAAAATAAGGAAAGTTTTGGAGGCAAGATTGAAAACATTTTTTTTCCTTTGTGACTCTTTAGGCATGCATCATTTTTTTTTTCAAGAAGTTTAAGGTTCCTATGGTGTTGAAACAAATTTCAGAATCTTGGAAACTTCTTGAGACCAGGCACTGTTTATTATTTGCAGGAAAACGAATGAGGGAATCACAGATAGGGGAAGTCTTTATTGAGTGAAGCTAATATACATCAACTTAATGAAACTGGGTATGCACATTACTGTACTTTACCTTGATGTTGTATTTTGTGAGTTCAACTCCTTGTGTTTTCATATTAATTTGGATATGAATTCTTGAGGATTCTATTAGGGTCTTAAGCTGTATGTTCAACTAATATGATTTCAGAACACTAAGAATATAAACCTAAACTGCCTGATGCATGGTGGATATGCTGGAAGTTGTCAGTCATTTGATTTTGCTAGCAAATGTACCAAAAGACCCAATATTTTTTTTGGATATAAATTTATAACCTTTTTCTTTGGCCAGAAAGCCAGACAAAAGATTAGATTTGAACGGTTATTAACTGCTTCAAGCATGAGAGCTTGCTCTTGCTCTTATTTGGATTGCTACTTGTTTGTCTTGACTTAATTTTCAAAAACATGACAAGTGAAGTGTAATTAGTTGTTCATTCATTATTGTTGTCATGACAGAGGCGTCTGATAATTGTGCTGTGCTTGTTCTCTGACCTGACATGCATGTAACATCTTTTTTGAATCACCTTCATATCCTAAGATGGTCAGATTAAATAATTTGAGTCAGCTTATACACTCCATTTGTTCACAAATGGTATTCTATCAGATTGGATGTAGCTCTTAAATCTCTTGAATTTCAGCATGTATCGTCATATCAGGGTCAACTTTGGGAAAAACAGGTGAAATTTTATTATCGTTTCATAATTTCTTTTTATGGTTTTTGGAGGCAGTTTAATTGAAGATATCATTTTCTTCCACCATTAACTTATTATCATTTCGGTTATGGCATGAAGATCTTTATATATCCTAAATTAGTTTGGCTTAGAGTCTGGAAGTACCTATGACTGAAATTATTGTCATGAAATCAGGAAAATAATAACTTCTAGGGAGGAGACTATACATTATACCTTCCTCACATACAAGAAAGATTGCATATTGCTTCTCCTAGCTTCCCGGTCAAAAAGGTACAGAGCAAACTCCTTGACCATATTATGTGCACAGAATCATATGAATTGGAAGCAGAATTAGACCTTGAATAACATAACTTCATGAAAGGAAAAAGGAAAAACTAGGTCCATGAAGATGATCAGTAACAACAAAGACGTGCATTCGTGTCTCTTGCATACACACGAATGTAAATATTTATTTAGATTTTAGAATTTCAGTCTTTACTCGTGTATGCCGTGTTTCATGTTAGATAAGGATGCATACAGAGCTTGATACTGACCAGTCTTGAATTATTTAGAAATGTACATATCCATCCATGAATAAAGTTTTTACCTTTATGTGGACTCAGTACTCCGAATAATTTAAGTTAATTTTCAGGAAAGTGATATGAAAGGGAAGTTCCTAGGTCAGGCTCAAGAAATTTGACAAATATTGTACTGTTGAGAGAGGATTACGTGCTGAATTATTGGCAACAATCAACTAGTGATGTTTGGTAATGGTATTTTGTCCAAATAATTAAGATGGGTATTCTAGAGACTGAAAAGACTACAAACATTATTCAAGATGGGTTTGCTAGAGACTTGGAAGACAAACATTACTTAAATGCTATTCATCAATTATGTTATCTTTGTTGTGCACTTTAGATCATCTACAGATGAATTAATCTTGAAGTGTGTAAAAGTTAGTATGAAAACACTTTGACCATAAATATATAAATATATATATATATATATATTTGTATTTTTTATAAATCATGCACTTCACTGCCGCAATCTATATGCACTAGATATTCTTTTTCTTGTATGTATGAACTTGAATATTTATTCTGTTCCACCATTCTTCTTTGTATTATTGAACAGATTATTTCAGGCCAATTTTAAAGGCAAATGTTGATGATAGAGTTGCATTGCACCTGCAACCTCAAGTTAGAACAAACCAGAGCATAATTCAACAACAAACTTCAATCCTAAAACAAAGATATTGATTGAGTAATTTACTGCCACCAGAAGATGGTAAGAGAATGAGATTCTTTCCTTCCTTGATAAGAAGTCCATTGCTTTAATTTAGGCCTCATAAATTAGTAGCATAGTGAATTATTGAATTAGTACAAGATATTTGGTCATAGTACCTATTAATTTAGAAAAATTTTAAAGTAAAAAATTCAAACTATAATACTCCTACATCTTAAAAAAAAAAAAAAAAAAAAAAAAAAAAAAAAAACAAACAAACAACAAACTAGTGCAGGGTGCCACTGGATTGGAGTCAATAATTATATTATGGGTAAGCCGTAAGTGAAAATGTAGGAAAATCATTGATGGATAGATGGATATAGATGAAGTACAACCTTCAAAATCTATTCTACAACCACCAGATCTAGATCGATGCGTACACTAGTTGCGAATGTCATTTTTATTATGAATTTGGTGAATCCAAATAGGCTTTCCCATTCAATTATGTATACGAGTTGATGCTTTGATCAAAGTTGTAAGGTGTTTCTCCATGTCTGCACTCAGAAATCGAAGACACACAATTTACTAACCTTATTGCACAACACATCTCTCCATTCAATCAATCAAAGACTCCAATTTGTTTGTGCTGGGCCTCTATATATGTTCTTCAAGTTGAAGTCCTGAAGTCCCTTAGTACAGGTATATGTGATTAAAAATTTGAATATTAATATTAGAAATTTTAAGTTTAAATTTTAAGATAAATAAAATGAGATTTCAAAAAAGGAGATTTATTTTTTATTATATAACTATTTATCCAATATATACTAAAAAAATGTTTTGCAAAGCAAAGCGCAACCAGCATTTTTTTTTCTTTTGATCTCCAAAGAAAATTTATTATAATGGAGTACAAAAAATACTCTTACCCATTATAATTAATTAATCAACAGTATTCTCATGGCTTACACGTATACAAACACACATACTTGTTTACATTCATGCCAGTTCAGTCATACCTAGAGCCAAATTAACTCAAATTTCATCCCAACCAGACGTTAGTAAAGGGCCAAAGAAACAGCCACCCGTGGAGATTTAAGCCAGCATTTAGAGTTTAAATCAGGCCATAAGCTAGCTTTGATCCAATAATAAGATCTGAATTTGATTAGCTCAAATTACCTTGCTTATAGGTTGTTCTTCATCCGAAGAGTCTTCTTGTTGCGTCACAACCACAGAGACCATACAATGGAAAACCACACCACTTTTTCATGCCTCTGGTACCATCCATTAGGTTCCAGTCCAATATGTTGCAGCAGATGTTCTCATCCTCCTGGTTGAGCTGCCACTTGAATCCCCCACCATTTTCTAGCACGATGTCCAAACTTTCCAAGCTTTTTTGCACAAAACACAGAACATACTCTGCAGTTTCCGTGTGTTGGCCGCAGAAGGGGCATGAAAAGGCCTTCTGTATCAATAAACACACCTCTTTTCACCTAGTTATCCTTCGTTGGGATTCTATTCTGCACTATCTTCCAAACAAAAGCAGCCACCTTCGAAGGGATCTTCAAATCCCAAACGATCTTGAAATTTTTATCCTGCCGAGAAGATCGGTTTGAATTCAGAACACAATATGCTGAACTGACTCTGTAGTCACCCTTGCTGTCAGCCGACGGCCTTCCTCCTTATGTTAATTGTAATTAATTAAAGAGGTTGCTGCTTAATTTAGGCTTGCACATTTTATAATTATTAATAAAAGTAAAATTATCTTAATATCAAGAGGTTTGTCCTTTATTAATGGTATAAAATATACAATTCACACATTACATCTTTTAGTTAATTAAAGATATTCACTTCAAATATTTTTAAAAGTAAAATCAAAAGGTTGGAAGTTAAAATATCTAAATTATAAACAATAAAAATCTCAAGTGTTAGATAATGGTTATTCATTATTCATAGTTTTTGATCATTTATAATAAAAAGATAAATGAATTATATTTTTTATTTTATTTAAGTAATATATATATAAGAATTA